ACTTTCCTCTTCCCCCTCATGAAATGTCCCAGTCTACTGACTTTACCTTCTCTTCCCCTGAGTTCCAGGACTCCAGCATTAGTCTGTCTCTTTTTAGAGTTTCTTTGTCCTCCCTGCTTGCTAGCTGGACTGTTTTAGGGGAATTTTATGTCCTCAACTTACTCTATAGTCCAACAAATTCTTCTGAATCTTGCCCATCCCCGCTAAGTTTTCTCCCGACTCTGGTTTAGGAACAATGAACTGCACAGACATGCTGATGTTTAGAGTTTTCCCCAGTTCTCAGGAAACCAAGTTAGTCTTTCTTTTGCCTTTGGAGCAGTTCTCCCACAGTTGTCAGAATTTCCCTCTTTCTTTAGAGTTGGGGCTCCCCAGGCCCCTGCTCCAGGCCTGTTTCCCAGAATTTAGCCACAGGGTAAAAGAAAGGCTATTCATTTTCAGGGTCTCTTGGCCTCAGTTGGGCCTGGTACTCAATGCCTTTCAATGGTACCTCCTTAGAGCCTTTCCTGGGGGTTATTATCCATTTGTGACTAGTCTGTTGATCTCTTTCCTTTTGACTCTCCATGAACTTAAATCTTGTTTTAGTGGAAGTGCAAAGAGGATATTCCTTAGAGGGAAGGATGGTAAAACTTTATCTCACATTCTTTGGACATGTTGTCTGGAGGGGTCAGTCCTTGGAAAAGACATCATGCTGGGAAAGGTGGACGGTCAGAGAAAGTGAGTAGAACCCTCAGCAAGATGGATTGACACGGTGACTATGACAATAGGCTTGAGCATGTCAGGGATCGTGAGGATGGTGTGGATAGAGCAAGGGCCAGGTCTGTTCTGAAGGTCCGCTTGAAAGCACCTAACATCACCCTAATAGAGAAACTCAGTCACTTCCTTAGATTTAGAAAAGCTTTGATTTTGAACGTTAGAAGAACCTTAGAACTACCTTCTCCCAATAAGTATCTCCATTTTGCCTCATAACAACCCTACAATATAGGGAGCAGTGGTGGCTTAGAGGTAAAAAATCTGCACTGCAATCCTGAAGGCATGAGGTTCAAATCCACCAACTTCTCTGAGGGAAAGGAATGGGCAATTTCCTTCCATGTGATTGTTGCCTCTGGAAACTGCCTGAAGAGTCCGGTATGGGTCAGTTCTGACTCGATGGTACACAACAATAACATGGGCTACCGAAAGAAAAAGCAAATCTATGTTGGAGGAAATGCAACCAGAGTTCTAATAAACTTATATTCATTCCTTTCACGTAATTCCTGACTTTCTAGTCATTGTTAGGGACTGGCAACAACATTAACAGAAGCAATTCAAATAATCATTCTTTCCCTATTTTTAAACAGAGTGACGACATTTACACGAGTATAGGAGTGAGTATAGTTCAGGAATTAAAAGGGGTTGTCAAGACTCTTTCACTAAAGCCAGATAAGGACAATAGGCCAATATATTCTAGACAGAATTTCTCTAAAGATTTGCCCAAGACATCAGAAATTACTAGAGTGCTTATTACAAGCAGCTCCCAGGTTTCAACCCTAGGCTGGACATTAGAATCTTTTCTAGATGATTTCTTGCCCAAGGAAGAACACACTACCTTAAGACTTTAGTACTTTCAACATTTCCTTTAGGGTTTATATGACAGCTTCTAAGATCATTCTTACTATTTTTTTTTCTATAATTATATTTTATTAATTTTCATAAACATTTACAGAGATTTTGGGCTTCCACTCATTCATTGTTGCACTATTCTCTCTACCCTCCT